AAAAAAAGATAAAATAAAATAAAAAATAACAAAACCAGAACTAGAAAATCAAGTCACTGGCCGGTCCACTCCTCCGCTCCAAGATTCGAAGTTGGTAATTCTACAACTTCCATATTTTCCCCACGCGCACAACCCACAGTGCAGAACGAACTGCTCTTCTTAAGCCGTCCATTTATCCCTTTTGTGTATCACGTCCTTGCATTACGCGTGTAGTATCAACCCCCATCCCACCTAATTCGCCTTCCGCTCCTAACTAAAACCTCAGAAACATCAACCAAAACCTCTTTCTTCATCCTTCATTCCCGGGAATTTCTTCTACATTCTTACTACTTCATTTTCTTGATTTCTTCCCATTAATAAACCACCAAATCCCCCCCCCAAAAAAAAAGCTATCAAATTTACTCAAAAGATCAGAAATTTCCCCAGAAATCAGCAGTTTTTCATTTATTATTCCACTCATTCAACCATGGAAGTTGTCCCCATAATTAAAGAGCCAAACACAATCGCAGAATCGGACACAAACCCAACTCTTGGTTTTCTTCCGAACTCCCATTCCTCTTCTTTTCTCTTACACAACGGATTCGGGTCGTCCCAGATTTCCGATATTGAGATGATAACGATACAGTCAGTGTCGTACACCAGTTTGAAAGACATGTTGCCGTTGTCGCTGACCACATCGCCGACGTACAATTCCAGCTGGTACGAGATACCCATCAGTAACCCGCTGGTGAAGCACGCGGCGATGGCGTATTTGCAGCCCATGTCGACTCCGCGGGAGGTCGGTGGTAAAGGCGTGTTTGGGATGCTCAAGGAGTGGTTTTGCGGTGAATGTGGGTGTCTCGCCTTTATAAACGATGTCGTTTGGGTAGCTCTGAAGGAGGCTTTTAGGAGGGGAGATGGGCTTGACGACGAATATGAACACGAAGTTGACTGAAAGGGAGACAGTTCTTTTTTTTTCTTCTTGTTTCTCTTTTATTTTACTTTATTTTACTTTATTTTTTTCCTAAGTTTGACTAGTAGATAGTGTCATAGTGGATATAATTTGTAAATAAAAAAGTCATGTGCAGCACTAAATGCACAATTTAAACAGTTAAATAGAGACATATGCTTTAATATTTTAGATAAAACTTGTTTAGGTTGCGTTTGAACATTTAAATTTGGTGAGTGCAATTAAAATATATATAATTTAAAAATATATAATTTAAATATATGTATTTTAAAATATATTATTTGAATTGAATAAAAAAATAAA